GAGTGACAGACTGACTTATTTCTTGAAATAGCACTTTGTTTCCTCTCAGACACTAAGGACACTGTGTATCCTTACAGTAAAGAATATGGTAAGGATTCACAGTCATGCATTTATATTTTTGCAATATACCAGCCATTTCAAACATAACAACTTTCATTAATGACTAGACTTTAAGTAAAATGGTATTTAGAGGTGTCTGTGTGTGTATTTATTTATGAATCTTCAAACAAAATCCCAGAATACTGAATTGTTCTTGTCTAGACAATATATTTTCTTTTGGGTAACTAGTTCTTCAAGTTGTTTCAAATTCCAGTAACATCAAGAATTTGCAGTTTGCCCAACATTATGAAAAATTTCAGTATGTTCAGGTCAACTTCTTTATTTTATGTAAGTTTGTGCTATTTCTTTCAGTTTTGCTCTCATTTTTTTAATGTGGATTTCCCTCAACAGACCAAATTTAAATAGCTCAAACAGTAAATAATTTCACTTTACTGAAACGGTTCATTGTTATCATGATATTCCTTGTATTCTCAGTGGAGCAGAAGTACATTAATTATGGATTCTGGGTATTATCTAGTTATGTCTTGAAAACATGCAAGGATGGGAGACCACACAACCCCTTTAGATAATCTGTTTCACTCCCTAATTTCATGCTCAAAAAGTTCTTTATATCTGGTCTGAACACCTCTTATTTCAGCTTATGTCAGTTGTCTCTCATCCTCCCGCCATACAGCACTGTGAACAGCTAGACTGTGTAACCTCCTCATGGGTCCTGAAGGGTGTAGTGGTTGATGTTACCCCCATGCTGTCTCTTATTCCGACTGAAGGAGCACAGTTCCCTCAGCCTGTCCTGCGGGTGAGTGTTTCAGCCTCTGACCAGCTTGGTGGCCCTCCCCTAGGTTTGCTGCTTTTTCTGTGTCTTTTGTGTATTGGAGCAGCCAAAACTGGACACAGTATTCCCATGCAGTCTAGCAAGTGCTGAGCAGAGGGGGACAATACTTTCCTGTTACATAGTGACTGTGTGCTTGTGTGATACAGGCCAGGATACCGTTGGCCTGCTTTGCTGCCAGGACATGCTGCTGGCTTATGCCCAGCTTGTTGTCTACCAAGACCCCCAGGTTGCTTTCAGCAGAGCTGCTCCCCAATCAGTCAGTATCTAGCTTGTATCATTACGGTGTGTTCTTTCTTTCCAAGTGCAGGACTCATCCTTGTCAAATTTCATGAAGTTCTTCTTGGCCCATTTTTCCAGCCTGTCTAGGTCCCTCTGAATGCCAGCTCTACCATCAAGTACATTGATTGCCTCCCAGTTTGGTATCGTCTGCAAACTTGACAAGAGCACACTTGGTCATCTCTTCCAGGTCCTTGGTAAAGATGTCAAACAGGACAGGTCCCAGTACTACTTATCTGATTATTTTATCCTAACAGGCGATCAGGCTGGTCAGCCGTGATTTACCCTTGATAAGTCTACGCTGACTGTTCCTGCTCATCATCTTCCCATGCCCAGAAATGTGTTCAAGGAGGACTTGCTCTGTGATTTTCCTTAGGACTAAATCAGGTTGACCAGCTTGAAGTTACCCAGCTTGACCTTTTTTGACGTTTTTTGAAGATGGGTGGAACATTTGCCTCCCTTATGTCCCTGACCTTTCAGAAATGACAGAGATAGGCCTTTCAAGAGCACCGGACAGCTCGCTCAGCACTCTTAGATGCAGCCTCTTGGGTCTCGTGGACTTGTATGGATGAAGTTCTCCCAAACATTTCTGTATGTGTCAGCTGTTTTTGTAAGAGAGCCATACTTAAAAATTACATGTATTTCTAGGTCTCTGTACATGATGTTCCTTCCATTGAGAGCTAGTTGACATTTTCACTTTAAGTAGTTTTGTTGCCTTTCAAAAAATTGTGCCAAATCACCTTCCAGGTCAATGTAATGTTTGTTTAGCTGAAAGTCACTTCAATTGCACCACTTCCTTGATGGAATCTTTCTGGAATTTAATGGTCGTGATAATAAAATCATGTATGGTAATGCTGGTGGCAGCTCACGATTGTGATAAAGGATATAATTGTTTAGGTACAAGTAACTCTCTGATTATCTTTATTTACAGTGCTGTTGATAATCTCAGCAGATGTCCCTAAAGTTATAGACAGTGGACATTCACAACTGTATTGCCAAATTAGATAAGAAAATTAATAAAAACCATGGCATGCCTTCCCAGTCTTGGTGTTCACTTTTTAAAAAAAGTGTAGTGTAGAATACAATATTATATTATAAAGTCAGGGGTATCATTAAGAATGTAATAAGTATACACTGTTAACATGCTAATCATATTTTAAACATTGCATATTTTAGAAATTCATCATTCCTTTTTCCTGAATGACAAAACATTGATTTCAAGCTAAGTAAAAAATTACATATATGTCGTATTTTGTAATAAAGCAAAGCCAGCAATGTGTAATAATGCTTCCAAAACCCCCCACATATTACTTGCAAGTCAGAGGCGGAGTTACATTTTTTCATTATATTGTTAGAAATAATTTTAATTATGCCTGAGAAAACTTGAACTGTTTTAAATATGAGTGAGATCTTTCCTGCTTAGAGTGTGTATGCAACTTCTGCTTTTTGGTCATTGATTCATAAGTTATGAATGTACATTAACTTCCCAGTCTTCTGCTGGTAAATTTTTATAATATTTTAAGAAAGGCTAAAAGCACAACAGTAAATTTGAGGAAGGAATCCATACATTGAGAAAATGTAGTGGTGGGGCATTAGGTGCTTATATGAGAGATTTTTTTTTTTTTTTCCATTTGTATGTCTTTTTTGTTACCTCATTCAGAAGGCTGACATAGTCTTCTGGTGAAGACCACTCAGATATCTTGTCTTTCCTACTGTATATCCAGGCCTCCCTTCATCCCAGTTTTTGATGGGTGTGACACACTCTCTAGCTCTGGAGGTTGTGGAAGGCTATCATGCTGCCAAGTTCGAGTTTCGATATTTATTCAGTGTGAACAGGTTGATGTTTGTAGATGCCACCATCTAGCTGCGTCAGTGCTTCTGCTTTCCAGCAAGAAGAGCTGGGTGGTTTTGACTTACTAGTTGTACAGATAAGAAAAATGTTTGTATAGGCAGGCAGCATGTCTCATTTGGGCTGTGTTATTTACTTGTCTGCGTGGACTTTCAGAGGCAATTTCACCTGCTTACTGAGAGGCTTTCATCCATTGTCTTCCGGTGACAGCTTATGTTAGTCTGTTTGACAGCTCACATGGGTAATGAAGTGCTCTCACAGGTGGTGCTGATCCTTGCTGGGAAAGGCATTGAACAGTTCTTCTTTATAGCTAAGACTATTGTTGACTGTGCTAGAGCTTTTCCTCTGCTCCACCAAAATGGTTTTCAGAGAAAAGGTTAGTAGAAGCCTGCAGTACAGCAGAGACTGTATATGTGGACATTCTGCTATTCCTTCCCGTGTGCATTATGCTGCAGTAGTCTATCCTGAATTATGTCTGTCACATATCAACTAACTTGGCTGAGGCTTGTTTGAAATTTCTTGTGTTTTCAAAACTTGACCAACTTGGCCAGTATTGCATTACCTGTAATCTTGTAACTTTACTTTTTTTTTTATCCTTTTCCAGATCTACAGTAAACATGTTAATAGGTTTTCTAGATTTTTTCTTGTCTTTCTTGACTCTACTTATGTAGACCTGGAGACAGTTCATAGCTGTCTATTTCAATTTGGTTTTCTTATGTACATGTAAAAGAAGAATAAATAAAAAGTATATATGCGGGTATAGATCTCAGAGTAAGAAATAGACAAGTATGCACATTTAAACTTGTTGTGCTTTAAAAATTACTAATTTGTAGTGCATTTCTTAAAAAAAATGCAATTCAAGTCATGCTGATATTTAGTGCATTTGATCTGACACTCAGTATGTTTTGACTACTCTCCTGGTTTGGCTGGGTTAGAATGACAGCCCAGCCATGCTGGGCAGGCCATCAGCAGTTTCAAATCAGCCAGGGCAGCTGACCTGAGTTAGCTACAGGGATAGCCCTTCCCATAATGTCATGGTCATTATAAAGGGGGAAGGTTTGCTGAGGAAGGGATGGATGAATGAATGAATGAATGAATGAATGAATGAATGAATGAATGAATGAATGAATGGATGGAGTGGTGCTCTTGTGGGGTTTCTGCTGGGGTGACTCCTCTGGCTTCTCCTGAGGACTGCTCTCTTGTCAACAGTGATGACTGGATATCCATTTCCCTAAGTATAACTCTGTATATCTCTGTTGGTATTAGTAGTGTTTCATTAAATCTGTTGCATGTCTACCCGTGGGTCTGCTCTCCTTTTTCCTGATTCCCCTCCTTGGCTGGTGAGGAGTTGTCGGGTGATAGAGCGACTGTTATAATTTAGCCCTGGGTACAGGCTAAACATAGACAGCTACCCAGGGGAAATAGTGTAAGAACTCATAAATGCTGAAAGGGGGTGATATGTGCTCTCCACTGTGGGTTCCTACAGTTTATGTCTGCTGGTTGTTGGTTCTCTCTGTGAGCAATTCAGCACACTTAAGCTGTCAGAAGTCTTATGCAGTCAAAAATGTCAAAAGATTTTTCAGAGTTAATGACTTTTTTATAAGCTTATTAAAGTGTTTTCCAAAGTCAAGAGAGGGGTAGGTCTGCACAATTGTGGGAAAGAAGAGGATGAAGAAGCAAGCTTTTGCCTGTGTGGTGTTACTACACCATTTTGTTTGTTCAACTGTTAATGAATTTTCAGCTTCAGCTTGCACAGAGTTGAACTTAGAAACTGTTCTGAGCATGCTTAGGACTTAAATTTAGCCTGAAAGCCAGAGCTGATGTCACCTTCAATGAGTAATGAAGATTTGGCACCTTTTTTGTGTAGCTCTGTAGAACATAAAATTCTTCAAAAGTTTTTATTACTACTTTATAAAAAAAGTTTTCACAATCTACTAGAGTAATAATCCTTTGTATTTTTGTTCTTTGTCTCTCTTTCTCCAGTCGAGGCCTCTTGCCCTGCAGGACATTTTGTGAGGCAGCAAAAGAAGGCTGTGAACCAGTCCTGGGTATGGTAAATGCTTCTTGGCCAGAATTCCTGAAGTGCTCTCAATTCCAGAACAAAACTGAAAATGACACCACTACAAGGGTATGCTTCTCACCACACCAAGAAAAAGGAAAGCAGTGTATGTTTCCATTCTTAACTGTTACACTATGTTCATGAGTTCCTTTTTAATAATATATTTTTTTTTTTATTGTGTACAAAAAGCTCTGGGATGAAATTAATTCTGTTGTTATGTTCCTTCACATTAGTGTGATAAAGTCTGTTTGTCAGTTGGTTATAGTTTTGCTGTACTTTAATTGTATAGGCTGATGTTTTTTCGGACTTGGACTGATTTGAGCCTTTTTTGTTTTGCATCAAAAATTCTGATCTGTTTCAAGGAAAGAAGGCAGGAGAAAAGTAATATGCCCTTTAAAAACATTCTGCTGACTTTTTCTTTGCTAAGCTCTAGTAAGTACAGGTTTGTTATTTGGAGCAGGTACCTGATATGCAGGCCAAAGAGATCCTGACTCAGATTTTGTGGAGACATTAACTTCCTCTTTTTAATATTGATTTCTTAAAGCAAATTGCTCTTTGTGGTTTTTTTTTTTTTTCCCCGATCAATTTAAGAAAGGGACTCTGCATGCTCTAATGGTTTCCACATATTCTAATAATTCCTATATACTATGAATGCAAATGGCTTCCTATTAGTAGTTAAACTTTAAATCTGTAAAAAGGAATGACAGTAACTAACATTATAAGTAGCATTAAATTATAAATAACACAGAACTTTTCTGTTCTGTAAGACAAATCTTTGTGAACTTTTTACTCACTGGTTATTGCAGTAGTTTTCCAGTTGGATACAGTCTTTTAATTAATTATTTCTGGTTAGAAAAGTTGCAATAGTTGGTGAGTGGTAAAACCTTTGCTGATAACCCAAATGATCTCCCTTCTTGACAAAAACATAGAAATTATTTATTATACATGTTAATAATGCAATGTTTAAGGGCAAAAAAGGGCTAAATGCACGTGTAATTGAAGTGAGCTCTTTCAGCTGTTTGAAGATGCCACCACAGGAGCTCCTAGCCTGTTTTAAGCTGGATAAGAAGCATTTAATTGGAGCCCTACATTACTGTTAGCAATAGCCATTAACAGTTGATGTATAATGTTTTAAGATACTGTAAAAACAAATAATTAATAGATATATTAACACCACAATTAACACCACAACTAGAGACTTCAGCAGTACTTCTGTCTTATAACAGCGTTGCCTTAAGTTTAGGTTTGAGTTTTGCGGTAACTCAGCTGAACAGTTCAAACTTTCTTCTAGTGACTGTCATCATATGCTACCTTGTCCTGCATAAGCTGCAATAGTTCAAACAATACAGAAAATACTGAAGAGAATTAATATAACATATACAAGGAAACTACTAATTTTCTTGATGAAATATGTTTAACTGATGCAGGTCTTGTTTGTTTTGTTTTTTTTTTTCCAAGAATAAAACACCAATAAAAATTGTTCTGATACCTCCCCCC